CCATCTACCTTTTGAGACACAGCCAGAAGTAAATAAAGAAGACAAAGGTAAACAGAAAAAGAGACAACAGCCTACAACCGCAAGAGCCTGATGAGGACAGCGGTGACGAATATGCCACTGCAGATCCATACCACGCCTGTGACAACTAGTGAGAGACATGCTGAAGCAGAAATGGAGCATCACTACAGTCATACTACTTTCAGCTACCCTGCATGTATGAACGCCAGCAAGTATGAGTCTGCAGCGTTGACATGTTTGAGTAGAACCACAGACTGTTTCACAGACTACTGCAATTAACAATTCATGGATTGTTTAGAGAGACTGTTATGGAACCATATGAATCAGTGAATTATGTCCCGTAACTGTCACCACACAAGACCCCCCAGAATTCACTCATACACAAAGTCTGTGCGGCGGGGAGAAACGACAAGCCGACCACCCCGACTCCGAAGAACGGGAGCCGGGGAGGCGACCTCTGAAGGGGCGGCCGCTGGAAGAGATGGGAGAACCGCATGCCCCAATTCTGTGAGAGGGGTCGAGGCCGGGGGGCGGCCCCGTCGCGGAGGTCGAGCCAGCACCACCGGCTGGTCCAAGTCCAGGTGAGCAGCCTTCACCCGGTCCACCGAGACGTGCTCGGTTCTGCCACTCAGGTCGACCACCAAGTGCTTGTCCCCGTGTTCCAAGACCAGGAAAGGCCCATTGTAAGGGGGCTGCAGGGGGCCTCTGTGCGTGTCGGGTCGGATGAACACATGCCCCGCCGAGCGGAGCTCCACGGGAACCCGGGACACCTGAGTTCAGTAGTGGGGATCAGAGCAAAGGCCTCAGCGGCCTCAGCAGGGAGCCGATGCGTTTGGGAGGAAATCCCCCGGAACCCTCAGCGGCTGACCGTAGACCATCTCGGCCGTGGAGCACTGCAGATCCTCCTTAGGCGTGGTCCTCAGGCCCAGCATCACCCAAGGCAGCTTGTCGACCCAATTACCATCCGTCAGGCCGGCCTTCAGGGCCGCCTTCATGGAGCGATGGAACCGTTCACATAGGCCGTTAGCCTGAGGGTGATAAGCGGTAGTCCTGTGAAGCTTAACCCCCAAACCACTCGCCACGGTGTTCCAGAGCTCGGACGTGAACTGTGAACCCCGGTCCGAGGAAATGTCTGACGGGGTACCAAACTGACACACTCACGTCACAATGAAAGCCCGGGCTATGTCAGCCGCCGATGTTGACACGAGAGGGACCGCCTCCGGCCAACGAGTCATCCTGTCCACCATGGTGAGGAGGTAGGAAAAGCCCTGAGAGGAGGGTAATGGACCAACCAGGTCGATGTTGACCTGGTCAAACCTCCTCTCAGGCACCAGGAAACGCTCTAAAGGGGCCTTTGTGAGGCGGTGCACCTTAGTTGGATGTAGAAGAGTCAGAATCAATATAGAATTTTTTTATTTTAAAGTAAATTCAGATTGAACATAGTAAAAAAAATTAAATGATAGTGTACGTCCAAAAAAAAACATTACTTATAGTGAAAACCACCCTTGAATGATGGGATAGTAGACTACAAGCTTTAGGAATCCAAACTATAACATATAAGTACCCTGTTTCCAGTTAAATTACCTTTTTAGAGAGATTTAGAAAAAAAAAATCACTTCTGGGGTCATTTGGGTGGATTTTCCATATCTCTGGAACCCATCGGTCGATTTTGATGATTGAAATCTCTGTTTAACCGTTAGAGCCAATAGAATCGAGGGGAATTTCCTAAAATCCATCTAAACATTAATCCATTGGTGAATAGAGTGATGCACAGCCAGAATGCCCAAAACCGGAAGCTGTCATACACTCTTGTAGCTATCATAATAGCTATATATGAAAACTCAGTTTTTTCCATAAATATGACGATGGATTATCAGTAATAATTTCAAAGTGACACAGACACATTAGATTAACCTATGGATTAACCTTCAGCAGCGTTTTTATCGTTTTAATGACTCGTTTTTGCTCCGTAAAGCTCCGTGTTGTGATGTCTATTTTTGCTTCCCCTTGTCGTGAGTTCTGATTAGTCATTGATGATACTTATACCCCTAGAATCTGTGGAATCTCAGTTTACTAATCGATAATCTTGTTTGTGCAGATCCGATATGTAATAAGGGTATTTATACCTAGAGTTCTGTGCTAAGTGTGTTAGCATTTTTTCGCTCAGGGCTCATTTTCTTGTGAGACTTGTGTTTTGTTTCGGTAAAAATGGTTCGTATAGTCAGTTAGCTGAGTTTCTTCCCTTTAATCGGGTATGACACATTAATAGGTTTTTAAATGTTAAGAAGCCCTGAGACACAGTTTTGTGAAAAGAAAACAGGTTAAAGAGAAGAGGCTGTTATGGTTTGGGAAAGGTAGGACCAAAAGCAGACTACAAAAAAAAGGTAAGTTGGTCTAGAAAAACAAAAGCGAGCTTTATTTTAAAAGCTGATGGCAAAAACATGGCAAAAACACAAAGGAAGCACAAGGAAGATATAATACAAAAAAGATGACGAAGACTGACATGGAGGGAGACGGGAAAAACAAACAATGAACCGACTCCGAACACAGGAAGAGACAAGACTAAATACAGGGAGGGGTAATCACGAGACGAGAAACAGCCGGGCAGGGAAGGAGAAACACAAGGGCAACAGGTGAACACAATAAGACAATTAGACACACCAGGGAAACTAACGAGAGGGAGGAAAACACAGGGAGAAGGACCAGACAAGAAACAAGGAGGAAAACATGATAGGGAGAACAGAACAGCAAAAATAACCACACAACAAAACTCAAACCCTGACATAACCACCCCCTCAAGGGACGGATTCCAGACGTCCCTACACTAAGTCAAACATTTCCAACTAGGTGGGTGGAGGGGGCCCGGAGGATGGGTCTGGATCAACAGCCGGGGGCAAGGCAGAGTTCATAAAGGGGCAAAGGTCACAGCGGGCGAACTCAGGGGGCCGAGCATGAGGACGAAGGCAGCGGCTGGAAGAGTCAGGGGGCTGGGCTCGAGGGCGAAGACAGCGGCACTCAGGGGGCCGGGCTCGAGGGCGAAGACCGCGGCTGGGGAACTCAGGGGGCCGGGCACAAGGACGGGCAAGAAGGCGGCGACGGGACAACTCCGGAGGACGGGCAGGTAGGCACTGATGGGACAGCTCCGGAGGAAGGGCAGGTAGGCGCTGACGGGACAGCTCCGGAGGCTGGGCAGGACCCGGTGTCGGCCGGACAGGAACCGGAGCCGGTGGGACAGGCGTAGACGGGATCCTGGACATGACATGGGCTGGTGTCAATGGGACCCTGGATGGAGCAAGGGCTGGTATCGATTGGACCACCAACGCAACAGGGCAAGGAGTAGGCAGGACCCCCGGCGGGACAGGTGTCGGCAGGATCCCCCACGGAAGAGGACAAGGAGTTGGCAGGACCCCCGGCGAGACAGGTGACGGCGGGACCTCCAACCGCTGCGGGGAAACTGTGGACCTCTGTCGCCTGTCAGCGCAACTTAAATTATGCCGTTTAAAAACATACAAAATAAAGGGCGGTGCCAGCCGTCAGCGAACCGAGCCGGCCGCCAACGGCCCGCTGACGACCGGCTGTTCTGTGATTCTCCAGAACACACAGATGGCCAGTCCGCCCCTGACGCTGACCCTAATAGACGTTACTAAGCTTATCCCTAGCATTATACACAAGTGAAACATTTCAGATAATAAACTATATTTCACAGGAAGGAAGAACTATTACATGTCCAAGTAACAATGCATAGTTTCAGGGGTCTGGGATTAGTGATGAGTCATTGTGAAATAAACCCATTGGTGGAATGATATGTACTGCCTCCCTGAGGACAGAAGCTGGAAGAGGCAGTAAGCATGTGGGGTTGAGGTCAGGTTTTTATTTATTTATGTGTTTGTGCTGCAACGATTACATTTATGCATGAGGGCAGCCTTTTGATCTTGAATGATCCACTGCATTTTTCCTTGTCTAAATGTCATAGATGTCACTGTGCATGTTGAGCTCTACCACTCTGATGAGCAGAGTAAAATAAACTATAGTCCCTAGAGTTGTCATAATAAATGTCAGAAAGAGGCTCTTCTTTTTTAGATCAGCAGCTCTGTCAAAGACAGAGGGGAAGACTCTGCTGGGATCATGTGTTCCACAGTGTAAAAGCACAAGTTACAAGTAAAGGTCCTGCATTCAGAATGATTTATAAACAACATTAGTATTTCCCGTGAAAAGTACTTAAAGTAAAGTAACGTGTTTTATTCTACCACAAGTTAATTATCTTTGTGACAAAACAAACTCATTTTACTTTAACAACAACTCCGTTAGTTTCTTGTTGGGCAATTCTACAACTTTGTTGTTAGTCCATGTGTTGTTCTCTAAAAATCTTATTTGAAAAAGTAGCATGGTTTTATTTGAAGCTGTGGGTCTAAAATTGGATTGGATTTTTGTATTTTGCCTTTGAACAATCCCCTCTTGAGAAATAAGTGAGTCAACGTTTCAGAAAATGATTCAAACATTATGAACCCAGCCGGCTGATTTACTCGCCTGATGTTTCCGCACTTCATCATGTCCAGGAGAACAACAGTAAATCTGTACATCATAAATTCAATTATTTGAAAAAGTTTCAGCAGTGCTTTTTCAAGCTTTCCAGAAACCTCCAGAATGTCTCAATTTGCCCTCCCTCTTTATACTCCTCTGTTGGTATTAAATATTAAAGGGGTAGTTCAGCATTTAAGGAAAATATATTTTTTACAGAGAGCAAGATGGATTTTAATGACATGGATTAGTATTACATATGACCACTTAAAGCAGTTGACCCGACACATTATGCCTTCTACATCATCCTGTTGAGAAAGTTATCATTCCAACATTAGCATTTATCTATGTGTAGCCTCACAAAGCTCCATGCTTTTCCAATGTACTGTTCAGATCTGTCTCTGTAATCTTGATATAATCGTGGATAATCAACGGTAACAGTTTTTTGTTTTTTTGTGTTTCAGTGAGGTTGGACTGTGGAGGAAAAGACACACGGAGAGAGAGACAGACAAAGGAGGCCATCAAACAGCAGGGATCCGGACACACACACTCACAACCGTAAAACACACAATAGAAAGACAGACTTGACACTTTGTCAGAGCCACAGGAAACACTTAAACAGTGGGGTACTGCCAAAACACATCATAAACTGATGAGTTACACACAGTAACACACACATAGAAGAAAACTCTGTGTCAGAGCTGCAGGGAGACAGTAAAACAGCAGGCTGCTGTCAAAACAGTTTGAGGCAATGGGTTTGGCACACACACACACACACACACACACACACACACACACACACACACACACACACACACACACACACACACACACACACACACACACACACACACACACACACACACACACACACACACACACACACACACACACACACACACACACACACACACACAGAGAAGAAGATCTCTGCAGTTGACAGCAGACACGTTTGGAAAGCTGGAGCTCATCAGAACATCTGCTGATTTAAAGGAATGATCGTGCAACATACTGAGAAAAACTGGTTGTTGTTTGGGAACCTTGTTGGTGCAAATTCTTTTCAAATTAAAATTAAAAACATATCCATAAAAAAGCCGACAATGCACTGTAGGGTCGGATTTCACAATATGTTTCCAATGTTGTTTGCAAGTTGAGACTGAGGCCCAGTCCACACGGAGACGAAACGGAGACAAAAAGTCTTCCGTCCACACGGAATAGGCTCAAGAAATGTGTCCGTCCACACGAAAACGCTGGAGACGCTGTAGTACATATGCCGGGCCTGTAAGTGGCGCTGTACTTCCGCAACACATTCTCACTTCCAACTCGGCCTATGTTGACGTTATGTCAGGGTTCCTGTCGTCACTTTCCAACGCAAGGGGGGCCCTTAACCGTCGAGTTTCAACTATCAGGGAGTCCCATTGACTTGCATAGAGCTCCCTGAACGTTGGTAATAGACGAGTTGGGATCGCGGAGAAATGCTCTCCGCAGATCCATTCGCACAGCGTTATAAACCTTTTTCTAACTCAATATCAAGCCACACTTATTGTTTTTACTTCACTATTTTAATTGAATAATGTCGGACTTTTGTTGCCGTCAGTTAGGGGGAGAGTAGGGGCTCAGAATACTGAAATCTGTATTGTTTCATCGTTTTTTCCTTCTAATTTTGTATTATTTTCTAAACCACACTGTTATTTACTCAACAATAAGACACAATTATCCTTGTGTTTGTTTATTTGTTTGATTGTATAATGTCGGACTTTTGGAGTCCGTCAGGACCGAGGGTCGGAGCGGCTCATTCGAACACAGGAAGCTGTATTTTCAAAATAAGAGTTCATTTTAATATTATGTTTGATAATATTATTTTTATTAACTAGACCACTGGGTCATGTTAAGACCATCTTTACTGTCGGTTTGGTGTTACAAATCAAAAAAAAAAAATATGTGTGGATAAAAAAATACATCCATCATAAACTAGACTGGAAACAGCAGTATATTTTCTTGTGTTAACACTGTAAACCTGAGTGCTTTAACCGCCTAGCGGTTAAAGCACGTTATTGAATGTTTTTGTTGATACGTTATATTTGATGAAAACATAAAAGTACATACTTTTCATAGGGGGAAAGTAGAAGGTCAATGATAGAAATATAGAATAGAAAATATCAAGAAGATACTGTAAGTGATCTCTACAATAAAACAGTTTAGTGCAGGACGTCCAAAGATATTAACAGGAGGAGGTGCAAAACAGACAAACTAATTAGGCTTTATTTAAACATTAAAGAATACTTTAGGTTAAGGTCTTCTTTTGAATAAGAAAAAAGCTTTGGGGGTATCTACAGATAAATATTAAGCCTGACAAAGTACTTAACGTCTAATATATTGCATAATTTGTTTTGGGACTTGACAGTCAACTTTCCTGTAATGTTAACTATGTTGAAGCACTTATTTTAACTGATATTATACATATTAATTATACTCTTATAAGATGTGTGTAGATAAAATAAGAAAGGTGCAGAATATGACAGTTTAATGGTGGAGGTATACACACATATTGATAGATGTCTTGTAATGCACTGTTGAGGAAGCTGCGACCCAAGTTTTTCATCTCCGACCTTGTCAGGTATTGAACATTCAATAAATAAAGAACACAGAATTATTAAATATAAAACACAGAATTTGTGTGATTATACTAAATGATTTACAAATAAACACCACTGCATATTTTAGTGGGAATGCTGTTAACAGCATTCCAACCATCTGTTATTCTACGCACGAAAAGTTTATTATTCCGCCGACTTATTTTGGCCCTCTTCTCCTCCCGCATTGAACATCGCATAAACTCCGTTCAGACATCAAAACGTTCAGCTCGGTCGGGAATCAATGGCTATTACTTTTCTCATTCATAACTTTCATAATTCCAGAGATACATCCCATAATACATCACATTTTTAACATTGAAGTCAATGGAGAAAATCTTCAGACTTCAAGAAATCTTCATGCGACTTCAACTGCTAACTGTTCATTCATACTTTCACTCAGAAACCTCATTCCAACTTTAAATGTTACACATCTTTCTGACATTATTCGTGGAAAACAACTTTTAAATCTGATTCTTACTTTTAGAGATATTAAACATTGTTCAGACCTTGTTAAAGAGGTTTTCTTCAGATGTTAACATTAACTAGAGTGTGTGATGTCACAGCTAGAGGGTAGAAAATCTTGACATTTGCCTTGATATATTATTTTAAAACTGCCATAATTCCCAAACCCTACATTCCTGAGACATAATTTTTCCTGACAAACGTAGGAAAACATCTCGTAGCTTGAAATGACAAATAATTAAGCAAAACATTTAAACAAAATGCCTCTTCAGGGCATGAAGTGACAAAAACATTCAACATTCCTCCATTAAAGCCCATTGTAATTTCAGGCTGATATTTCCTCACAGCAGCAGCCGCACACCTTTAGTTAAACTGCCAAAAAGGCCACATTATTAACCCGAAATTACACTTCAGATACTCAACTTCCTTGACATGCTTCACGTTTTGAAATTTCACAGATATCTGTTATGATTCTTCCACAAAACTTTCACATGTAAGAGGTTTATCTCTCATTCAGAACAATGGAAACCTTTGATCTCTACGGAGCTCGTTAGCTCAAATATAAACACCTGTGTAATGGAACACGATGATGTCATCACTCCAACTGACATGCTCAGAGCAGCAGACTTCAGATAGCAGTGTGCTAACAGTCCAGCCGTGAAGACATCGGGGTTGGCAGGACCCCAGGGAGAAGAGCAGTCGGCGGGACCCCCAACGGGACAGGACATAGGGTTTGCAGGACCCCCGGCAGAAGAGTAGTCGGCGGGACCCCCAACGGGACAGGACATAGGGTTTGCAGGACCCCCGGCAGAAGAGTAGTCGGCGGGACCCCCGACGGGACAGGACATAGGGTGCAGGACCCCCGGCAGAAGAGTAGTCGGCGGGGACTCCGACGGCACAGGAATTAGGGTTGGCAGGACCCCCGGCAGAGGAGCAGTCGGCGGGACCCGCGACGGGACAGGACATAGGGTTGGCAGGACCCCCGGCAGAAGAGCAGTCGGCGGGACCCCCAACGGGACAGGACATAGGGTTGGCAGAACCCCCAGCGGAACCTCCAACGGCACTTGAGTAGGGACTAGAGAAGGGACTCGAGAGGGAACACGAGAGGGGACTAGAGAGGAGACTCGAGAGGTGACTTGAGACGGTCGGTTCGCCGACAGAACACGGGGGGCTGGAGTCGGCCGGAGAGCCAACAGAAGACGAGGAGCTGGAGTCGGCCGGTACCCCGACAGGACACAGGGAGCTGGCGTCGGCCGGAGAGCCAGTAATGGAGCCGAAATCATGGCTGCTGGGACCGGTGTCGGTACCATATCTGCTCGGGGTACCATATCTGCTCGGGTGTATTTCCGTCGCATCCGTCATCCGTCATAGGACGTATTGTACGGCAACTCAAGAGGGCCATCATACACGGTCAAATTCCGAACATTTAAACATAGCCTACACTTCATTCTTTACTTTGTCCGTTATTAGAAGATTACACTTTTTCTCAGTCATGTTGTTTCCATAGCAACAACTTCAAACAGGCATAGCCTACACTTCATTCTTTGCTTTGTCCGTTATTATATGTAGAAGATATTACTTTTTTCTCCGTCATGTTGTTTCCATAGCAACAACTTCAAACAATAACAACTAGACGCAAAGCTAGCATCACAGCCACTGCTCCGTTTTCGGAGACTTTGCACACGTTTTTCACAAACATTTCCACACGCTAGGAGTACTTCCATTCGCTTCGTCTTGATCTGTAGATGTGATTTGATGTGTCGTGTGTCCACCAACTCCTCTCTAAAGTTCAGATATTTAATAAAATACTCATGGGAGTTTCCTGAGTTTTCATGCCCAAAGCCAAGCACTAGGCCCTGGGTAAATTAAGAGGCTGATCTCAGGCACTTTTGTCCACTTTCCCTGGTGGTAGAAACTCAAGCCAGACATCCCTGGAATCGTCTCAGAGAGTAGATGATCAGTGGGGCCTTGTTTTTACTGAATGATGTGTTTTTTTTATGGGGAATTCAAATATGAGCTTATTTTTTGGATTTTCGGAGACTTTGCACACGTTTTCACAACCATTTTCACGCTAGGAATATGGGAGTACTTCCATTCGCTTCGTCTTGATCTGTAGATGTGATTTGATGTGTCGTGTGTCTCCCAACTCCTCTCCAAAGTTCAGATACTATATAAAAATACTAAAAGGTAAATAAAACATAATGACAAAATAACAACCTGAAAGATATGTATTCTATCTACACATTTCGTAATTATCTAATCTAGTGACCTTATAAAAGTGTTGGCTAAAGTAACGCAGAATATATATATATTTTTTTTTTATTGTAAATAATTAGAAACATTATTTATGTGCACAAGTACATGGGACCCCACCATAGCACCCCACACATAACAAGCTGTCCCGAGTTCCTCCGGCTGCAGTTCTGCAGACGGCCGGTGTGTGGCAGCAGAGCGCTGGGAGCAGAGGGAGGTGAGTTGCGGTGAATTGCCGTACAATATAACGGATATGACGGATGGCGGATGCGACGGAAATATACCCGAGCAGATATGGCACCCCGAGCCGATATGGTACCTACACCGGTTCTGAAGCCGGAACCATGGCTGTTGGGCACGGAACAGAAGCATGGACCCTGGCTGTGTAAGCCAAGTA